GGGGGGGGGGGCACCACCCCCCCCCCCCTTTTGGGAGCTAAAAAAAAGAAAGAAAAAGAAAAAAATGATAGCCCACAATGCCTCAAATGTTATTTTCGGGCGTCTAGAACACAAAAATTTCGCGGACCCCCTAGGACATTGTTGTCTCGATCGGCCCGAATTTCGGCCCCCCCTTTTGGACATCTCTGGATCCGCCATAACAGGGAGTGAGGTATAGCTCAATGAAGAAATGATTAAATTTTGGTGATTGTCCGGAGTAGGGTGTGGATGTGAGGACCAATTAAATCGTTTTTGAGCAAATGTTCTAGTGAAGATGCTGTAGTTTAAAAACTAATCAACTGATATGAATGAAAGTTGCAAGGAAGATATTATTAAATGTTGATGACGATCCAAATTTGGGTGTGAATTTGAGGGTCATTTAAAATGTCCAAGACCTACAGTAAGCATGGCAGAAACAATAGATAATGAATATTTAAATTAGTGCAATTACAGTAAAGGTATACAGTGTTTTTATACTAAACTTCACTTTTTTCAGAACTGATTGGAATATTTTTAATGCATCTTTACATTTAAACATGTGATGCTAAAAACCAAATCCTCATATTTCTATTTGCAAAATATTTCCATTTCAAGTTTCAACACCAATACATGGCAGGTATTTTTTTGGTCAGATAAGAGTAAAATGTGCCAGTGTGTTAAACCAGGGCAGGTGTACAACTGACACAATGCTTAAATTTTGATGTCGATATAGGACCATTCAAAGCAAAACGTCTGCCTTTTCCCAGCAGTAGCTGGAAAAGCCATTGTTTTTGTTCTGATTTTTTTCCCCTATCTTTTTGCACTGGGTTTTTTCGTCCGGGACTTTTTGTCACTTCTCATGCTTGGAACTTTTTCCATGATTTGTCAAAGCATAGACCATACATCAAGGATGTGCCTCCTAATATTTAGTGTCAATCTAAAGTGCGGTGTGGATGTGAGGACCAATTAATGTGATTTAAGGGCAAACAGTCTACACCAGATATTTAAAAAATGTGTCAATTGATATTTGAATGAAACTTTCGGGAAAGTAACCAAGTCACAAGGAAGAAATTATGTGTTGGAAGACGATCTAATTTAGGGTGCAGTGTTCTCCCCAGGATGAGGGTTAAGCATCATGGTACCCATGGTTTATTTTGAATTATTTTATTGATGATATTTTAAAGCGTCACGAAAGACGCATAAAGTGTCACGACCAGCTTGGGAGCGTCACGGTGGAAGGTAACAAACGCTGGAGTGTAAATTTGAGGGTCATTTAAATTTGTCAGGTCCCAGACCTAGAGTAAATGTCAATGGGTATGATTGAAACTTTGTATAATAGTAGTAAAGAAATGATTAATGTTTATGACAATTCCAGAGTAGGGTGTGGATATGTGGACCATTCAAATGAAAACATCCCAGACCAGATATTTTACACTAATGGATCAACTAATTTAAATGAAAGTTTTGGATGATCCAGGTTATGGTGTAAATTTAAGGGTTATTTAATTGCTTACATCCCAGATATAAATGGATAAAAATGAAACTTTGCAGAATAGTTTTTCATGGTGAAATAAAGAACGATCAAATCCGCAGTATGGTATGTATATGATATGTTCATTGTTTTGTCATATTAATGACATAAATGAAATAATATTATTTTGATCTCTCCAATTACCATCTCGACGAGATTTGATTGACAGATAAACCGACTAATCAGTGAGCGTTATTTTGTTACGTGATCAAAGACTTTTTCTTGGACATTTTAATTTCCTTAGAAAGCTGGTTGTCAACGCGAAACATACGTGAGCCTAGGCCTAGATGTCTATGCTTGGTTATAGATACCCAGATTTACACGTGCAGTGCGTATCAGTGACTTGGCCTTCGCCGACGAGGTTGACTGAATGCGACCTTTCCCTCTTCCTTTGGGAGCGAAATACAGAGGCTTTTACAAAAATTTCCCTGCCTATTCCATGAAATAGATTAACACTATGAATATATGATTCATTTGCATACCGCCTACCCTGAATTCTCTTTCTTAAAGAAGGTTGATAGCAAAGAAAATGTTCGCCAACTCGGTAAGTCTAGCCGCCATTGTCTAAGGTTTTCGTGACTTTGTGGGCGGGGCTTCGCGTCTTTGTCGATATGTTAATTGTATTACCCTGTTAATAATATTTATTTTAATTAAAAACTTATTTCATAAAAATTTTATTTTAATTTATTTTAAAATAATTTAATTAGGGTTTTTGTGTTGTAATACTGAAATTAATGTTTATTCTTTGTGATGAATCAGGTCGAAAGTTATCCCATGAAGCTTTTACAACGGACAAGAAATTCATAAGAACAAGTTTTTTCACTCACCATTCAGAATTAACGATCACAAAACCAGAAAGCAACATTATAGCCATTGAGCTGATCAGGATGTGTCCAATCTTTGCAATGGTTCTACAAAAAATAAAATAAATACATTCATCAAAAAACCAGGATTAGGAAAAGAAAAGCAACATTTATATTTACAAACATTAAATGTAAATTTTAATTCTAGAATAATACTTGTCCATAGCAAATAAAAACATTATTTTAATATTATTATTACTATCATCATTATTTAATTCCAAAATTAGGTCAAATAATGAAATTTTAATGTTAATCATTAATGTAATTATTTTAAGAACAAGAATCATATAAATGTATTTTATATTAATATATATTTAGGCACGATCACCAAATTATTCCAGAAGACGTGATTTCTATTGTTCTACCAAAACGCGTCTAAAAACACATGTTTGAATAGTGCATCGTTTGGACGCCAATATTCCGTTTTGTCCGATTGGATGCACTGTAAAACGCATCCAATTATTATTATTATTATTATTATTATAGACAACTCTCTAAAATGAATCATAATACGCCTGACTGCGTGCCCCAAGTGCGGATTTGTTTACCTGCTAGCGAACGTCTCTTTGTACGCCACCTGTGTGTGCAACTGACTGAAGCAAGTAATAGTCGGTTGGGTAGTGGGATGTTGTTCAGTAGGCCTAGTACCGTGCATAGATGAGACTATCGTAATATTCAGTGATTTTACAAATTGATGAACAAATATAACGTTAAAAAATCCGATTTTTTAGTTATTTCCGATGTAGTTGCATGCCACCATCAGTTTTAAGAAGTGCAATTACGCTCGTGTGCAGCTGTGGTAACATCCAGCACAGCAATTAATTGCTCTCCTTGCCATTGAAAGGAATCACATGCTAAGACCCATGCCTCCGAAAACGGTGTTCATGATCAAAGTAGATAAAATTTTGCATTATACTAAGCTAAATTATATTTACATTTTATAAAACGTTTATTAATTGAATTTACATGACCTTCATGCAAAACACATTTTTGGTGATCCGCTTCACGAGCGGGTCACCTCTTTGGTGATTGTACGAGATCTTTTTATTCTACATTTCTCCTCATTTCTTGTTCACACGATATCTCAAAATTGCTACGAGGTATGCAGACGATCGCTTCATCGATCATTTTGGCATCGCCTGAAATAGACATGGTAAGGTTTTCAAGGTGACCAGTCATGCGTGATGTCAGCTACGCGCAATTTTGCATTTTTACATTATTGATCATATCAGCTTAACCAATTGCCATTTCAGAATCGTAATTAGTGAGCATTAACTTCAGGTCAATGTTGAATGTAATGTACCCTAATTTTACACGTGCGCTTCATAACGTGCGCGCACGCTTGCGTCAAAATTTCAAAATGATCGGAATCACTTTTTGTCTAAATTAGAGCACGTTTCAGGCCATTTTGAGCATTTGAAAATTTTTAATAATTTTCCA